TCTCCATCTATACTGGGCCAATATTTCAACATGGTGCTAGGCAGCATTTCCAGGGACATATCCCCTAATAAGGGATTTGAAAGTTAAAACCCTGTGTACTTTTCATCAGTGGTGTTCTAGCTATGTTCAAATGTGGGTAATTATATCCTGCCATGTTAAGTTCCCTCACAGTTGTAATCTTCACTTCCAGTTGTACAGTATTAGGCCTGTTGATAAATCATATAGTCCATGCTTGACCATACTTCGGTTCATTATGAAATAGATTCAAGAGACCAAAATATCAATGACAGTCCAGTTTATTGCAAAAAAATGATAACAGTATAGAATAAGAACAACTGTTCAGAACAATACCAGTTTCTGGGAAGCCATCTCGTGCAGTGCTGTCAAATTCACCTCACACAGAAGGGGTGCTCCCAAAGTTACACATTTCAGCTAGCAGTATTTGTAGGCTTTTTCAAGTCACGAAATTCTGTATACAGGACTAAAATCCAGCCCATCAGTTTATCCCAGTTCCTGAACTTGTTGCTCTGTACATTTCCATATCTTTGTTTTGGTACTGGTCTGTGAAAATACTTCCCCAGTTTGCGCTGGGGCAGAATATGAATGTATATTGCTTTTGACAAGTTTTATATTTTCTAATGCCAACACTGACTTCAGCTTTACGAAGTGTTATGGGATACTTAGCATAAGTTTAAAGGGATTATAAATAAAAAGACGTAGCCTGAATTGGACTATATAACTGCTAGAACTATATATATACAATTGTGACAGTGCTGGGCAACAACACCTGAGCCAGCACTCTGGTCACTGTAACTCCAATAAAACACTACAGAATGGATGGGGTTAAGAAGTGCTGTGCCTAATTGGTGGGTGGAGGAGAGCTGGAAAGCTAAATTCTGCCATTAGGCAAAGGATACATAAAAGCCCAGAAAGGAAGTAGGAGGAGGGGAAAGCAGGCAGTAAGAGGAGAGGGAGGGAGAGATTGCTCTTCCCTGCTTGCTGCAGTAGCTGAGGGCTCCCTGAGACAGTAGGTGTATGGCTGTATATTGTACAAGGGTGATGGGAACTGGCATTGTAATTAAACTGTACTGAGTGTTTTACCAGCATAAAGGTCTCTGAGCAGTTTGTAGACTTGAGTAGAAGCAGGAGTGAGTGGGCCCTGCCACAACAATGTAATGTTTATTGCTGTTGTGTGCTTAACATATTAATATATCATTTTGGGGGCTCAATAATATAATTAATACATATTTGTTTATATATATTAGCCCAGCATGTACTGATCAAAAACCCAATGTGCAGTCAAATGCAGCTACATTTCAGCCAAAAGATTGTTGCACGTGTTTGTTGAGTAAAGTGTGTATATCACATACGTGGGGCTAGTAGTACCACCTATTTTTAAGGTTGCCTGACAGTTCCCATTGTAAGACCCTGCTTTCAGTGACTTATAACTTTGCCAATCTTTAATAATTTGGGCTGACATTTTCAAAGCCAGGTTTCTGCAACAGGCTGAATATTTTTTTTGGAAAATTCCAGCCAAACTAGTTCTATAGCTTACCATAACACTGTCTGAAGACAGAATAATAATACTCCATACCCCCTTCCTTTCAAGGATCTTAAAGCATTTTAGAAATGGGAACCAGTTGTCATTCCTCTTCCATTTTGCAAATGGGGAAACTGAGAGACAGATCATTTTGAATTTGCTGAAGATTGTGTACCAACCCAACAGTTGAATATGGAACAGAACCTGACCTTGGACTCCATGCTGCAGCCAGCTCAAAACCAAACTGCTTTTTCCTTATAAGACAAAAAGAAGTAACACTTTGTTCTGTCACAAGAGGAGTTCACAATAAATGTTTACAAAATTGTTTACTATTGGTCACTGAACTGCCCTTTGTTCCTTCGGAAATACCATCCATAATGGCTTTTTGGGAGGGAGGAATTGGGTTGGGGGAGGGTGGGAAGGGAAGGTTATTGGACATAAAACTGCTTTACACAACACTGCTAAAAGCTGCTGTAACTTTTACAAATGAAAACAAATGTAACTCCTCTGCAGGCTCATTGTCTAATCTAGCATTTTAAGGGTTTGCTCATGCATTTTGATGCTTCTCTAATATTCTTTCTATGCCTCAGCTCTCCACCTGTAAAATAGTATTCCTTAATCCCCTTCTGTCTGTGTCTATTCACACTGTTAGCTCTTCAAGAGAAAGTACTCTTACTACAGTTCTGTACAGCACCTAGCACAATGGAGCTTTGATCTCTTTGAGTGTCGTTAGGGGCCACTATAATACAAATGGTAAGTAATTTAGAAGGTTCTGGAGTTCCGATATGCTTTAGGGTATGTCTACGCTACGGAATAAGATCGAATTTATAGAAGTCGTTTTTTTAGAAATTGGTTTTATATATTTGAGTGTGTGTCTCCGCACAGAAAATGCTCTAAGTGCATTAACTTGGCGGAGTGCTTCCACAGTACCGAGGCAAGCGTCGACTTCTGGAGTGTTGCACTGTGGGTAGCTATCCCACAGTTCCTGCAGTCTCCGCTGCCCACTGGAATTCTGGGTTGAGATCCCAGTGCCTGATGGGGCTAAAACATTGTTGCGGGTGGTTCTGGGTACATATCGTCAGGCCTCCGTTCCCTCCCTCCCTCCGAGAAAGCAAGGGCAGATGATCGTTTTGCGCCTTTTTTCCTGAGTTACCTGTGCAGACGCCATACCACGGCAAGCATGGAGCCTGCTCAGATAACTGTCACCCTATGTCTCCTGGGTGCTGGCAGACGTGGTACTGCATTGCTACACAGTAGCAGCAACCCATTGCCTTCTGGCAGCAGACGGTGCAATATGACTGGTAGCCGTCATTGTCATGACCGAGGTGCTCCTGGCCACGTCAGCCAGGAGCGTGTGGGCAGACATGGGCGCAGGGACTAAATTTGGAGTGACTTGACCAGGTCATTCTCTTTAGTCCTGCAGTCAGTCCTATTGAACCGTCTTATGGTGAGCGGGCAGGCGATACGGACTGCTAGCAGTCGTACTGTACCATCTTCTCCCAGGCAGGCAAGAGATGAGGATGGCTAGAAGTCGTATTGCACCATCTTCTGCCGAGCAGCCATGAGATGTGGATGGCATGCAGTCCTTCTGCACCGTCTGCTGCCAGCCAAAGATGTAAAAGATAGATGGAGTGGATCAAAACAAGAAATAGACAAGATTTGTTTTGTACTCATTTGCTTCCCCCCTCCACCCCTCCTGTCTAGGGGACTCATTCCTCTAGGTCACACTGCGGTCACTCACAGAGAAGGTGCAGCGAGGTAAATCTAGCCATGTATCAATCAGAGGCCAGACTAACCTCCTTGTTCCAATAAGAACAATTACTTAGGTGCACCATTTCTTATTGGAACCCTCCGTGAAGTCCTGCCTGAAATACTCCTTGATGTAAAGCCACCCCCTTCATTAATTTTAGCTCCCTGAAGCCAACCCTGTAAGCCATGTCGGCAGTTGCCCCTCTCTCCGTCAGAGCAACGGCAGACAATCGTTACGCACCTTTTTTCTGTGCAGACACCATACCAAGGCAAGTATGCAGGCCGCTCAGCTCACTTTGGAATTAGGAGCACATTAAACACCACACGCATTATCCAGCTGTATATGCAGCACCAGAACCTGGCAGAGCGATACCAGGCGAGGAGGCGACGTCAGCACGGTCACGTGAGTGATCAGGACATGGACACAGATTTCTCTGAAAGCATGGGCCCTGCCAATGCATGCATCATGGTGCTAATGGGGCAGGTTCATGCTGTGGAACGCCGATTCTGGGCTCGGGAAACAAGCACAGACTGGTGGGACCGCATAGTGTTGCGGGTCTGGGACGATTCCCAGTGGCTGCGAAACTTTCGCATGCGTAAGGGCAGTTTCATGGAACTTTGTGACTTGCTTTCCCCTGCCCTGAAGTGCATGAATACCAAGATGAGAGCAGCCCTCACAGTTGAGAAGCGAGTGGCGATAGCCCTGTGGAAGCTTGCAACGCCAGACAGCTACCGGTCAGTTGGGAATCAATTTGGAGTGGGCAAATCTACTGTGGGGTCTGCTGTGATGCAAGTAGCCCACACAATCAAATATCTGCTGATATCAAGGATAGTGACCCTGGGAAATGTGCAGGCCATAGTGGATGGCTTTGCTGCAATGGGATTCCCTAAGTGTGGTGGGGCCATAGACGGAACCCATATCCCTATCTTGGCACCAGAGCACCAAGCCGGTGAGTACATAAACCGCAAGGGTTACTTTTCAATAGTGCTGCAAGCCCTGGTGGAATACAAAGGACGTTTCGCCAACATCAACGTGGAATGGCCGGGAAAGGTACATGACGCTTGCATCTTCAGGAACTCTGGTCTGTTTGAAAAGCTGCAGGAAGGGACTTTATTCTCAGACCAGAAAATAACTATTGGGGATGTTGAAATGCCTATATGTATCCTTGGGGACCCAGCCTACCCCTTAAAGCCATGGCTCATGAAGCCATACACAGGCAGCCTGGACAGTTGTCAGGAGCTGTTCAACTACAGGCTGAGCAAGTGCAGAATGGTGGTAGAATGTGCATTTGGACGTTTAAAGGCACGCTGGTGCAGTTTACTGACTCACTTAGACCTCAGCAAAACCAATATTCCCACTGTTTTTACTGCTTGCTGTGTGCTCCACAATATCTGTGAGAGTAAGGGGGAGACGTTTATGGCGGGGTGGGAGGTTGAGGCAAATCGCCTGGCTGCTGGTTATGTGCAGCCAGACACCAGGGCAGTTAGAAGAGCACAGGAGGGTGCGGTACGCATCAGAGAAGCTTTGAAAACAAGTTTCATGACTGGCCAGGCTACAGTGTGAAAGCTCTCTTTGTTTCTCCTTGATGAAACCCCCCACCCCTTGGTTCACTCTACTTCCCTACAAGCTAACGACCCTTCCCTCCTCCCTTTAATCACTACTTGCAGAGGCAATAAAGTCATTGTTGCTTCACATTCATGCATTCTTTATTCATTCATCACACAAATAGGGGGATGACTACCAAGGTAGCCCAGGAGGGGTGGTGGAGGAGGGAAGGAAAATGCCACACAGCACTTTAAAAGTTTACAACTTTAAAATTTATTGAATGCCAGCCTTCTGTTTTTGGGCAATCCTCTGTGGTGGAGTGGCTGGTTGGCCGGTGGCCCCCCCACCGCGTTCTTGGGCGTCTGGGTGTGGAGGCTATGGAAATTGGGGAGGAGGGCGGTTGGTTGCACAGGGGCTGTAGTGGCAGTCTGTGCTCCAGCTCCCTTTGCTGCAGCTCAACCATACACTGGAGCATACTGGTTTGGTCCTCCAGCAGCCTCAGCATTGAATCCTGCCTCCTCTCATCATGCTGCCGCCACATTTGAGCTTCAGCCCTGTCTTCAGCCCACCACCGCTCCTCCCGGTCATTTTGTGCTTTCCTGCACTCTGACATTATTTGCCTCCACGCATTTGTCTGTGCTCTGTCAGTGTGGGAGGACAGCATGAGCTCAGAGAACATTTAATCACGAGTGCGTTTTTTTTCTTTCTAATCTTCACTAGCTTCTGGGAAGGAGAAGATCCTGTGATCATTGAAACACATGCAGCTGGTGGAGAAAAAAAAAGGGACAGCGGTATTTAAAAAGACACATTTTATAAAACAGTGGCTACACTCTTTCAGGGTAAACCTTGCTGTTAACATTACATACATAGCACATGTGCTTTCATTACCAGGTCGCATTTTGCCTCCCCCCACCGCGTGGCTACCCCCTCAACCCTCCCCCCTCCCCGTGGCTAACAGGGGGGAACATTTCTGTTCAGCCACAGGCAAACAGCTCAGCAGGAACGGGCTCCTCTGAATGCCCCCTGAAGAAAAGCACCCTATTTCAACCAGGAGACCATGAATGATATCTCACTCTCCTGAGGATAACACAGAGAGATAAAGAACGGATGTTGTTTGAACGCCAGCAAACATACACTGCAATGCTTTGTTGTACAATGATTCCCGAGTACGTGTTACTGGCCTGGAGTGGTAAAGTGGAGTGGACGCAATAAGGCTGCCCTCCCCAGAAACCTTTTGCAAAGGCTTTGGGAGTACATCCAGGAGAGCCGTGAATGCCAGGGCAAATTAATCCTTTCACATGCTTGCTTTTAAACCATGTATAGTATTTTAAAAGGTACACTCACCGGAGGTCCCTTCTCTGCCTGCCGGGTCCAGGAGGCAGCCTTGGGTGGGTTCGGGGGGTACTGGCTCCAGGTCCAGGGTGAGAAACAGTTCCTGGCTGTCGGGAAAACTGGTTTCTCTGCTTGCTTGCTGGGAGCTATCTACAACCTCATCATCATCATTTTCTTCGTCCCCAAAACCTGCTTCCGTGTTGCCTCCATCTCCATTGAAGGAGTCAAACAACATGGCTGGGGTAGTGGTGGCTGAACCCCCTAAAATGGCATGCAGCTCATCATAGAAGCAGCATGTTTGGGGCTCTGACCCGGAGCGGCCGCTCGCCCGTCTGGTTTTCTGGTAGGCTTGCCTCAGCTCCTTAAGTTTCACGCGGCACTGCTTCAGATCCCTGTTATGGCCTCTGTCCTTCATGCCCTGGGAGATTTTGACAAAGCTTTTGGCATTTCAAAAACTGGAACAGAGTTCTGATAGCACGGATTCCTCTCCCCATATAGCGATCAGATCCCGTACCTCCCATTCAGTCCATGCTGGAGCTCTTCTGCGATTCTGGGACTCCATCATGGTCACCTCTGCTGATGAGCTCTGCATGGTCACCTGCAGCTTGCCACGATGGCCAAACAGGAAATGAGATTCAAAAGTTCGTGGTTCTTTTCCTGTCTGCCTGGCCAGTGCATCTGAGTTGAGAGTGCTGTCCAGAGCGGTCACAATGGAGCACTCTGGGATAGCTCCCAGAGGCCAATACCGTTGAATTGTGTCCACAGTACCCCAAATTCAACCCGGCAAGGCCGATTTAAGTGCTAATCCACTTGTCAGGGGTGGAGTACGGAAATCGAACTAAAGGGCTTCATCGTGTGGACGGGTGCAGGTTTACATCTATTTAACGCTGCTAAATTCGACCTAAAGTCCTAGTGTAGACCAGGGCTAGAAAGAATAAGTGACTTAATGAGGTCACAGAGGAAGTATGTAGTAAAGCTGGGACTTGAACTGATATCTCCCAAGTACCAATTGCCTGAATCACAGTACCAACCTTCCTCTCAGTCATTCCTCTACTCCTTAATCATATGCTGCACCATATGTTCTTCCTCTGCCCAGATAAACCTGTGTAATGAGAAAAGCTAGTTACAGATTTCATGGAGAGAAGTGGGACTGTTTGTTCTTTTGTGGTCTAAGCTAAACCATAATGAAAGTTTTGACAAGGATTCCCCCTGGACTGAGCTGTACTGGGGATGGAAAAGCCCTCTAGCTGGTCAAGGCCATAAGTGGTCCTATATTGCTCCCTGCTTGGAAGCTCCACCATGGGGGTGTGGTGAGGGCAAGAAGATTTCTGAGGGTGGAGTTTGTGCAAGTGGTGACTCTGGAGATTCTGTGCTGCTGGAAAGCAGTGTGTGGGCAGCTCTCATGAGGCTGCCCTAAATCAGAGCAGCCACTGGCCCATGCAGCAACTCAGCATTTGGAGGGCACGTGGGTGGCTTGAAGCCTCCAATAGACACAGCACAGAATCACAGAATACATTTGCTTCATGGAAATTGCTTTGGTTCACGTTCTAATACTTCACAAACTAGCTCACTCATTCAATTTCTGTTGGCCCTTCAGAGCATAGTGTTTCAAGGAACAAGAAGCAGTTTCAAGGCAATGATAAGTTCATACACATTAATACCCTGGGAGATACTTAGATCACTAACTCCCAAAGCCAGTAGGAGGCATGTACATCAACAAGATTTGTGTACGCTTAAATGTCTACCTTAAGGATTCAATGAAGGTGAGGGAGAGTAACTATCTTCAGCATGTATTACTGAATGTGACGTACTTCTGAATAAGTAGTCTTTATTCACATTAATAGCAAGGACATAGCAAATAGAACAGTGCAGGTGTCGTGTAAGTATATACATGTATAAATGCTTCTGTTTCCAGTAAAGGTCATCAGCAAGAAGCAATGATTTTTAATTACTTTAGGTTTTTATTACCACTTTTAAAAAAAAGCTGTTTATATATGGCTGGTACCTTCCTATGTCTATATAATCTAAAAAATATCTTGGATACCAATGAACATGATTTTCATAGTGAGAAAATGTTGGCATTGTTCATCTTAGTGATCCAATGTTTCAGTTTTAAATAAACAGAACTTCTCCACTATAAAATGTAGTAATAGGCAAAACACTGCGGACATGATAGTTGACTTTCTTACAAGGGTATTAATCTAGGACTTTTGGATAACTCGTATACAGCATATTTTAGTTTATACTAGCTAGTAAAAATCTCTTGTGAATTTACTGAACAATGGGGAGAAGGAAACACAGCACAAACAGCAGCAACAACCAAATTAGGAGTCCAATTTTCAAAAGTGCTCAGCACCCATAATAGGGTGACTTACTTTTTGAACAGATCTTTGCTTCTATTTAGGCATCTAGATGGAGTGGCCAGTGGCTCAGTCCTCCTTAGCTCATATTGTTTTAAAAATGTATTTTCTTTTTAGATGAGGATGTTAACCAACTTTTAAACAGTGTCCCTTTCATTTTTACATGTAAGGACAGTCTCAGATAAAATACTTGTCTTAAATATTGGTACATATGTAAATCTAAAGGTATTAATTTTACACAGTATTAAAATGTGTGAGTTAGTAATAAATAATTGAAAGTGAGAAAATTTGTATCCCCTGTACAACTTGTAGCTGACAAAACAACCGAGTAGTGCAGGGAGGGAAGCAGAGTGGGAGAAAGGAAGTCAAAGTAAAGCTGGCACCATATCCAGGGAAACTTTCCCGTTAGCATCTTTAAAGTGACTGTTTGATTAAAAAGAAAAAATAAACACAGAATAATATAATAGCATTTTGAGATTATGATGTTCCATTCTTTGTCTTAAATACAGACTTGGTAAAGGATAATGAAAGGCTTTATCTGCATGAGTTAAAATTTTTTGTTTAAACTGAAATGTGCTATCATTTGGGTTGTTTTTACAGGCTTGTCAAATTTGCGTGCAGCATTGAAAGAGTTGTTCCAGAGTACATGGAGATGGAACAAGTTGAAAGGAAGGTGCTGACAGCTGAACTAGTAACGCTTGTGAGTGGTAAGTTCTGAAATAATAATTGATCACTACTGTTTCTTATAATGTTCTTGGCAAAATGTACAATAATTTTCAAGCTGTATTGATGCTTTGATTTATATAATACATTTGCATAAAAAATATAAAAAGTAAATTGGAGAAATTTATTCTTTAATTCTCTTATAACAAATGGTACTAAAGTGAGGAAAATTCTGATGTAAATTTAGTTGTTTCTTGGTTCGTACTAATAACGTATGCAATCATGTATATGGAGGCTAGAATCATCCTGATTTTCAAAAAGACTTCATTACGAAGATCAGATAGAGGTTTTTGTGTGTTATAATTTCAAGGTTGTTTTTGTACTTTTTGCAAAAAACATTAATAGTTTGGCCTCGGGTCTGTTTCCAGTGATTTGATGTTGCCTGTAGTAGCTGCCAAACAGATAATTTTTTTTTAGCATTAATTAAATTTGTACTTTATTTTCTCTGTCATTTTTAAAAATAGAAGATCAAGAGTAACATTTTCACAAGTGCCTAACTCTCATTTTCAAAAGTGACTGAGGAGCCAAAGTTTCATTGATTTTCAGTGACATGTAAGCTCCTGTGAGCCCACGTCCCCTTAACTTTCAAATTTTACCACAGCACCTTTCAACTCCAACTCCCTCATTCCTTCTTTGGTTGTAATAGAATCTTACAAAGGGAAAAACACGTGACTGAAATTCTCTTAAATGGCTTCAGATGTTCTTGTCTGAGGGAGAAGGAAGAGAGTCAATGTAAGTGGTCGCTTTCAAGTTTCAGGTTTTCTTGTTACTCCATCTTTTAAAAGTTCCTGACATGGATTTTTTAACATGCAGTGTTTGGGTTAATCCTAAACTCCAGCGGTGGTATATTTACAGTGGTAAAATAGAAGGAAGCAAAGGGAGAAAAATGAGTTGCTTTAATGTATAGGTTGATTTCAGAAAAAAATTGAACTGCCCAGTAGATGAATAAGCAAAATGTTAACGAAGTGGGTAAAGTGTCTGAGCAAAATTCTTCTAGCCAAAGCACCTAAGGCTTTAGAGAAAGTTTCAGATGAAAGATGTATGACCAAGTGGATAGACTAACATGCAGCCTTTCTCTTTCGTTTCCTGTCTGCATTAACAAGAGACAAGCAGATTTATTGTTCAGAGAGAAATTCCTATAATTGAACAACTGTTTGTGGCCTTGTCTTCACTGCTATTTTTAGCTTAAGGTATAACTCAAGTATTGCCCTCTACGTTGACTTGCATCCACATACAAAAATCTTTAGGTGAAGTTAAGTGGGTGTTTTAAGCTTGAGGTAGCTTGCCATTTAGGGGGTGTGGGTTGATGCTCAAGGGCTGTGGAAGCTCAAGGTAGTAATGTAGTGGGGACTCAGCTATAGTCCACTCTACTGTATGGAGTCCCCAGTGACTTCCCAGAATTTCTGCCAAGGTGTTTTGGTTAGGTATTTCCCTTCTACCGCCAGACTGGAAGTTATCCCCATTTATAACACACAGCTTTAATGGTCAGATCCTGCCTTGCATGTATCTCTCTGCACCTGGAGCATTTATTCCAGCTTTGCTATTGTATTTGGTGAGTCAGATGGTGACTGGATGGAAATCTTCCTCCTAGTGTGTGGCTATCTGGCCTGAGACTGATACCAAATTTCTTGTTCAGGTGCGGTGCATTCCCAGTTGGACTTATGGTATTGGGGCCCAAGTTTGGAAATCAGCATGTTTATGATGATATATCTAAAATATTGTCTGAGGAAGGTGGTCAACTGGACTGTTCAACAGTGCTGTCCATCACTGGGGACTAGACTGGAACTCTCAGGCCAGTGAAACCCCAATGAGCTCACTGTCCTATGAGTAGTTTGACCAGGTGCTCTTTAGCACCCTTTGTATGGAGCTCTTCTATGCCCTGAACAGCTCAAGGGCTCCTGAGCAAGTTCTAGGGCGACCAACAAAGGAAGACCTGGAACTGAGGTCCCCACTGGCCACAGCAATCTTTAGTGAAGCAGAGCTGATGCTTAGCACTGGGGGCCACAGCACTCTGACCAGACCCAGGACTCTGGTTAGGGGAGACAGGAATGGGATGTGGATGAAGCGGCAGATGAATGAGCATTATCTCAACAAGTTAAGGACTTGATTCCCCATTGTTGTTGTTCTGAGGAAGTGATATAAGATGCCTGTCATTGCATGTGTAGGGATGTAGAGGGTGCACAAATGTCAGATTTAGCTTCTCTTCTGGATGTGGCAACCACAATTTACACTCACCCCGGTATCCATTTCCACCACCCCACCCATCTGCACTCAGAGGGTAAACTTCAGGTGCTGCCGCGTCCACCATTCCCTTCTGGGCGTGATATGCTGCAATATGTTGTCCAGTG